TTTTTTTTTTTTTTTTTTTTTTTTTTTTAAGGTAAGTTTTAAATTAAAATACTTTCTCCAGGTATTTTAGTTGTTTTAACCTTCAAGAGGGCAGGTCACTGCTTGTTTCTGCCACTGATAGTTTCTAACTGAAGTTAGTTTCCACTAAATCCGCCCAGCCATTGCTGCATTTCTCCCTGTGTCTCTCCTGGGAGCTGCTGGTGCAGGACAGGGTTTTGTTTGCTTCCTGACACCTTCCCCTGCACGTTGTCTTTTCTTTTCCCTGTGCRTGCCTGCCAGWGGTCCGGAARGACTCACACTTAGCAGCGTGCAGGAAGTGGTTCCTGTGGCAGCAAATTATCACAAGCGCCTGACAYGTTGCATAAAGGGGAGTAAAAAATGTCACAAACATCTGCAGGTTCTGACCAAAAGGAATTCTTAGATCCACCACCACTCTGCTGCCCACATGAAAAAACACTTTGTGGTGTCAGTGCCTAACATGCAATTAGCTGTGGAATGGGAAATGCCAATGGAGCTGGCAGGGAAACAGGAAAGCTGGACATTCCTCTCTCTGGCTCCTCCAGGCAGAGGGCTGAGGGGCACGGCTTGTGCTGCAGGGTGGGGAGAGGAATTTMAACTCTTGCAGCTGTTGCTCCACTGTGACCAGCCCAGGCTTGCTTGGAGGCCTTTAGAGTGAGAAAACTTTTCCCCAGGTCCAAAAGTGAGTCCTAAAAGGAAAATGGAGGTGCCCACTCAGATCTACAGTGGAAAGGATTTGRTGAGGGTGGAGTTCAAGGCAATAAAATACTTGACAAATATGCAACCAGATGTATTCTGTACTTAAAAAAAATTTGTCTAAGATGTCTGATTCAGGGGGATGCTGTATTTGCTTCCTTCTTCCATTTGCCTGGAGCCCTTATCTTTGAACAGGCACTGTCTATACYGTTGTTAGACTCCCAAGACTATTAAAGGTCTTGGGGCACTGACATTTTACRAGCAGATTCAGCTGCCATTCACACAGGGGCATTTTTAGCCTTGTGAGAGATGCAAGTTATTTTAGAACAGTTTTAACCAGGAAATCTCCCCGCCTTGAGAAATCAGAGCTACTGTGTTAATCCCAGTAAGCAACTGGGAACCTGACAATGTGCCTGTTGTTACGAGGAGATTCAGGAAGGGTGAGATGTGTGTAGGAAGGGAGAAACGCACAGGAAATGTGCCATCAGGGACAGYGGTGTGGAGCAGGGCAGGGCAGTGTGCCAGACCCACGATCAGATTGCTGCTCTCTGTGCCCTCACCACCCCACCCTGCTGCTTGAACACCTTCCTGACCCGCTCTGGTGACTCTCAACCGGGACATCCAGCCAGGCCACTCTGCACCGTCAGCCCATCCAGCTCCCACAAACCAGGCCAAGAATCACAGCTCTAAAACAAACATCACTCAATTACAACCTGGGTTTAYTTCCAGTGCCTCAAGTTATTAATTAACCTGCTCTGAGTGTCGCTGTTCCTGTGCAGGGTTTGCTCTGGATGGSTTATGGCTGCTCTCAGGTCTGAGAGAAGCTCAGTCTGAGCCTGTCCTTTGCTTGGCCATGCTCTGACAAACCACAAGCTCCTCTGGCTCCTGCCAAATTTCCACCTCTATGAATGAGCAGCTTGCCAGCCAGACAATGACAGAGCAAGTGCTTCCCACTTAGGTCTCCCCATACAAACAGGACTCCATGAAAAGCAGGCAGAAATTGTGGTATCCCCCATATGAACAGAATTTTATCATCTCTTCAGTCTGCCATTGCTGCCTTCCTGTGGGAAGTTTGCACAGATATCAGAGGGGAGGAAGCCAGCTTCAAGTTAACTGCCCTTTAATGTCAGTGCTATGCATTACTCAGCAAAAATATGTCCCTATTTCATCCACAGTCCATTTTCTTATAGCCTACTTTGCCATCTTTTATTGTCACACATGAATATTCCAGTTTCCCTACATCCTTGTCCAAAAGGTCTGAGGGATTCCTGCTTGGGCCAAGTGYGAGACTGCAGGAATGAGGTGTTGATCAAAGCCTGACTCACAACTCTGTAAAACACACACTTGTTCAGGCTGCACTGTAGCTCACATAGTGAAAAGTATATTTAGGAAGCCAAAGCTGGGTTCACTTAAACTTGATGTTCTCTACAGCCTCACAAAAAAAGTACAACTCCACATATTTCAAATTTAGTGAAATCCTCCAGCAGAATTTTGGGGAGCGTAACCCAGATTTGGCAATCTACAGTTGACTCACCCACTCCATATTAATCCCTGCTGTGTAAACTAAAGCAGCCAAATGCAACTCCTGCCTGGTGCTGTGGTCATSTAAATTAACACACACTCTTCTTGASTTCGGTCTTCCCTTGTTTCTGAACCAGCAAGAACATTAAAAGAAAATATCTCTATCCACAAGGAATTACATAATTTGGGAACACGAGAAGGGAAAAGTGATTTGAAGGAAGCAGATACTGCAAAGAGCACTCCAATTTTGAAAAAAAAATAACATCTTCATGCTTGCTAGGTTAGGYGGAGTGTTGGGTAATGAAAACACAGGAAGGCCTAAGCCAGAGGGATTTTAGAAGTTATACTAAAGGGATTGGTTAGATACTGACTAAGAACACATTGTRTTGCAAGCAAAGCTATTTGTAGCCCTTTTCCCTCTATTTCCCCAAATSGCTTCCTGATGGGATGTGTTCTCTGCTGCAGATCTGGATGCAGAGGAGCATCTGATGGTGACTAACTTCAGTAGTTCTGTAGCAGAGCCCTGATCTCTGTCAGCCATCAGCAAGGCTGTGCCTCACTCCTGAACTTGCTGCTTCTGCCTGTTCCCATGGCAAAACCAACCCCTGCTTCCAAGGCCAACACATCTCACCTGAAATAAGGCATTCTCAATCCTCTTTCTCTGCCAAACATCCAGATTCCCTTCCCAGCACAGAGGCAGGGGATGAGATCCAGCATCGCTGTGATAGCTCTGCCAGCCTGTGGTGATAAATTCYTGCCTGTGGCTCGGGGAAGCCGTGCCAGCACATCTGGGAGACACACATCCCCCAGAACGGTGGGGGCAGAGCTATGGAGGTGTTGGCAGACATYCACCTGTTCATTTCATGCTTTTCAGAGATCACTCATTGTGTTTGATGTTCCAGAAAAGCATAGGATGATCCTAACCTTGTGTTACCCATTTTTCACAGCAGAATTTGGCTCGAGAGTTCACATTTTAGTGAGCCACAGAAACCTGAAACTGCCTCTAAGCACCTCCTGTATCYGTCTGAGATGTTACCACATTGATGTATTTCAGGTTTGCAAAAAGGGGTGGTTTTCCCCCACAACTGCAAAGCTGAGAATTCCGTTTCCAATGAAAGGTGAAATTCAAAACACAGCACGTTGGCCGTGCTTGTATCATGTAGGCCATATTTGGCCCACATAGTTGGCACCCTGATTTAAAGAATACCAGAGAAAATAACCCAAGAAACAGTTTGTGTTCCCTTTAAATAGCTGCTCACTAGGTCAGTGTGTGGTTTATGAAWAAAGTTTGTTCAAACTACATCAAAGTGCTTGAATATTCTCTGCCTGATTTTGCTGAGTTTTGTGTCTTAATTTGTCTCACATCTCCTGTTGCAGACCCTTGTCCTGTTTTCTTTCTCAGCCTTCTGAACTCTGTGGTAGCATTTGGACAGATTTTATGTAGAGTTTATCCAAAGATTTCTGCAYAGATTTAGTGCATGGGCTACTTGAGCCAAGTGAAACAGGAACTATTTCTAAGGCATGAAAAGGCAGAAAGGAAATTTTCTTATTGAAATATAATTTTTCCATATTACTTAAYAGTCTAGAAAGTTAATGCCTTTTTGGCAACACGTCCCACTGGGAAAAAAAATGTGGTTCCTACTCAGCCAAACAAGAATATAATAACGTTTTAGGTTGGGTTAAACGTCTTAGAAACTGGCAGGTGTCACAGCCACCTTGCCTTCAGTGAAAAAGGCAATTGAGAGCCTTTATGGAACAAGGGATTTACATCAGTAGGAGCTACTACACAAAAAAACAGGCACATGGCAAGGTTTGAATAGATGGTGAATCATGTGGCCCAAGGGATTTTTCGGGGTGGGGGCGTGTGTGTAAAATATCAGGCCATGAGGACCAGATGGTTGAGCTCTGCATGTGCGAGAGGAACAGCGAGAAACACCACAGAAATGGAGCCTGAGAAGCAGCTGAAATTCAAGGACACTGGGGAGCTTTGATTTTGGAAATCGTACGGTGGGTTTAATGAGAGTCAAAGCAGTGTTGGCACTGCAAGCAAAAGCACAACTGAAAAACAATTCTGTGCATTTGTTCTGTAAACAGGATGAATCACCTTGAGTATACACCTGCTTTATCACGGGCTTTTCCTGTTACACTGACTGYCATCAGAACTTGGTGTGGAGGGACTGTTCCCTGTGGAGGGACAGTTCAGCTCTCCCACATCATAGTTCCCCCTCTTTCTGTCCATATTAAATTCTGTGGGGCAGAGACTCTCCCTCAGTAAGAGTCTGTGTGCAGCAGACAAACAATTGTTGGCCTTGTGCAACATCTGAAATTTATCAGAGATTCACTTGACTTACTTGGTAAATTCCATTCTTTAGGCTCTGTCTTTCCCATTGTAAATTCTTCAAGGCATTGCTCTTGCTCAGTACATGCTGTAGTGGGAATTCATAGCTGAAAACACAAATAATTAATGTCAYTGGTAATGTTAAAAATAAATATTTAAGGCTCTGTCTTGTTATGCACTTTCTTAATTAAGCTTATGAATATTTCCTTGGACATAAATGGGGTTACTGTTTATTGTGTKGAAGTCTTCATAAACTGAGGTCTGTGTTACAAAGAAAACAATTAAGTGTATTTCAAAAATGTATTTCTGAAGACAATATGGGAGAACGGGTCTCCATTCTTGTCCAGTTTGTATTACCAAATAAATTAACAATATGAATATGCAGTAGATGGTGTGTTCAAACAATATTGAACCTAATCTGTGAGTCTGTTTTAATGGCTAACCTGAATTAACCATCAATACCATCCAGAGTGTTAAAGCATCTTTTAAAAACCATAAACTCACAGGAGTTTTCCTAAGCAGTGTGCTAACCTTTCACTCCTTCCTAATTTTTCCTTGGCGATCATGAAGCAATAAATTGGTACCAAGATTGAAGCACGGATATTTTCCATGCCCCACTAAAGCTTTGGTTTTGTTGTGCTCACCAAGAATCTCCACACAACACAGACCCCTGAGCTGCAGATGTGTAAGCTTTTGATGAAAGAACTTGTACCAAAATCACTATACAGGCCAAAAATGAACTAGGGAAKGACACTTGCAATTAGTGATTAGATTTGAATTTCACTAATAGAGGGTTGAATCTTCCATTTAAATCAGTGGCACAATTCCATTTTAGATTTTCTTTGTTTAACCTCAGCCATTACAGTGGACAGGAGCTGATGGTTTTTCCTGTGTTCCAGATAGGATTTATAAGACTGTGGCTCATAAAGTATTTTTTGAAAGCTTCTACGTGCTTGCAGCAACTTTTCCCTCAGGAAAATGGTGAATTTGATCTACGTGTGAATTTGAATACTCTTTTATTATTATAATTTGATTTATATGACACTTTGTTAGGTATTACAGGTCCTTCTTCTCTACTGCAGAAATATCCTTTTCTAGCTTTTTGTTTGCCCTGTGCACAAAGCAGGATCCTCCTTGCCCGAGTGCAGCAGTGTTTGTATTGGGTCTGGAAGGCCATCTAGTGACACAACCGTGCAGGGGAAAATGCAAAGCCCTACGCGAATTGTGGTTTGAGCTTTTATCCTCAGTTGAATTAAACGKTCTTGCAACATCCGAGCATGTCCTTAGGGGTTTGTTGCTATTCCCACAAGTGGTATTTAAAAAAAAAAAGGGAAAAAATAGAGGAAATTTTTATTTATTAAAAACAAACTTAAGATAGAACACGCTGTTAATTCCTGCCAGGAAAGAAACACTTTTTAAAAACGCTGAATGGTGGTAGGTTGGCACCTGAGCAGATCTGTCCAAATCTGTGTCACTCCCCTGATCTGTGCATTGGAGCCAAACATAACCCAGCAGTTGTGATCCCCTTCCACAGCCAAACATACCCAGCTSTTGTGATCCCCTGCGCTCCACTGTACCAAAAAAACACCATGTGGAATCCTGGGGCCACCACATTTCTGCAATTACAATGTGAAATTCCAGTTATTTCCATCGCGGCTCACCTTCGGTGATGAGCAGATGATGAGCAGAGCTGTCGGTTCTTTACCGGAGCAATAAATCAGAAGAAAACAAGCATTGWGTCCCTGACAGTGAAGAAAACAAGCATYGAGTCCCTGACARTGCCAACACCAAGGTGCCTTTCCGGGGACACCTCGGGGGTCTCTGCTCGCCCTCACGGTGGCTGGCACCGCTCAGTTTTCGGGACTGGAACTGCACGGCCCCTCAGCGCTGGCGGCTYGGGAGGTTCCGTGTGGGAACAAATGGAACGGGAATAAATAAATTCCACACACCGCGATTCGGTGTGTGGGTGGAAGGGCAAAGGCGACAGGGCCCGATGGTCCCGGGGGATGAAGCCTCGAGGGCTCGCTGTGGGGATGGGCGGGGATCGCAGCCCCGGTGGGTGTGAGGGGATGCGGCGCTGAGGGGCTCTCCCGCCGTGACCCCGAGCAGCCTCACCCTGCGGGCGGGAGACGGGCCCGGGGTGCGGGAGAGGCTCCCGCAGTGTCCCGGGGAGCCCGGGCGCGGGTATCGGCCCCGGTGGGTGTGAGGGGATGCGGCGCTGAGGGGCTCTCCCGCCGTGACCCCGAGCAGCCTCACCCTGCGGGCGGGAGACGGACCCGGGGTGCGGGAGAGGCTCCCSCAGTGTCCCGGGGAGCCCGGGCGGGGCCCTGCGGCACCTGAGGCGGCGGCGGCGGCGGCGCGGCCAATCCCCGGCGGGGCGCGGGTGGCTCTGCCCGCCCCGGGCTCGCAGGGGGAGCGGAGCCCCGTCCCGGCAGCGCTGCGCCCTCAGCGGGCCCGCTCCGCTCCCGCTCCCGCTCCATGGAAGCGGCCAACGGGACCGTGCCTGAGGGCGCGGCGGAGCGGACCCGCGGCCCCGCGGCCGCCCCGTCGGGCAGGAAGGAGGTGAAGGTGGTGATCGTGGGCGACGGAGGCTGCGGGAAGACGTCGCTGCTGATGGTGTACGCCAAAGGCGCCTTCCCCGAGGTGAGGGGCTGCCATCCCCGCGGGGCTGGGGCCCAGCGCTTGGGCCCCTCCAGAACCGCTTCGCACAATCGCAGAGTCCGTTGGGTTGGAAAAGGCCTCTGAGATCATCGAGATCGTTCTGCTCCCTTTGCAGCAATACGCGCCCTCTGTTTTTGAGAAGTACACSACGAGTGTGATGGTGGGGAAGAAGGAGGTCACCCTGAACCTGTACGACACCGCAGGTAAGGGGTTCCATTTTCCCAATGCCAGCAGGACTGTGAGGGGCAGTTCTTGTGTGGCCACTGCGATGGCACCACTCAGGGACATTGGCCTGGGACRGAGCCCAAACCCAGCCCTGGCCTTTCGTAACTTCAGGCAAATAAGCAGAAACTGTATTACTGTAAAATGCTGCTCCGGTGAACCTGCCCCCGTTGCTGTTACAGCAGATTGTGCTAGGTCAACTTAAACCAGACTAATATTTGAAGACTGTAAAGATGGACAGATTTTCAAATTGCTTCTCTACAGCATAGTTTTACCATAGCATTGTAGTTAAGGCTGCTAGAGACTAAAGTACAAACAAACCAACCATCATTACCTGTTGCATATCAATGTGCTTTCCAGAAAAAAAAAAAGGGTCGATTGTCTAATGGCAGTTCTGGTCATCAACTCATTATCTTAACAACTCARTTAATTCAGAAATATCAAATAGCAAACATATCTGAAAGTATTAAAACCCAATTCCCAGATGCAAAGCATAATACAATCAACCAGGAAAATATTTTAATCTGCTGCCATGTGTGATTGAATAAGGAAGAAGAAAAAGGCTGGTTTGTGTTCAAAATCAAAAGGTCGTAGCAATAAAAGTTATTTGAAAATGCTGATAGTTTGTTCAGGTTCATTGGAGGAACTTGTGAATGGTTTGTGTTCAACTTCGCTCAAAGCTCCCAGACTCTGTTATCCAGCTGTGTTCCTAAATGAACCCTAAAATTGACACGTGCTCCGTTTCAGCTCAGTGTAAATCATCTGTTTCACTTCAAGCCTGTAGAGCTGTTCCAAATTCCCACAAAGACAAATAAGAACCGAATGCAGTCCTGTAATTTTTAATAGTTGTAAAACACATTTACCTTCTTATATACAGCACGTGATAGCTGAAAACATAKTTTTAAAGGCTTTTAATCTAAAAGGGAAATTTATTGTTAGTTTTTTCTATAGTGTGTTAAGATCCTGAGCACCCAATTTGCCAGTGTATCTTCTTCTGTCAGTGTTACTGTTCTAAGGCCAGTTAGTTGGGGTAACATACCTTCTAGTGATCTAGAAGGGTCTAAGCCTTAGAGGAAAAGAGATGGGCTGGAATCTGGTGTAAGGTTCCTTAATCCAGTGTGTTGGCACCAAAAACTTACCACTGCACTTGTCATTTTTATGTTTGTTTGCTGTCAGTGTGGAATTTTTGCCTGTCACAGTTTGTAGCTCTCGTTCAAAATCCCTGCCTCACATTCCAACATTTGCCTTTGGAGTCTCTTCCAGGCTCTGAGGAGCACGGCTGGATCCTGCAGCACTGAACTCTCCCCAGCCTGGCAGGAGTGCACAGCTCCTGGATGGAGCAGCCACAGCTTCTCTGGGCAGCCTGTGCCTCATTGTAAAAAATTTCTCCTTTATATGTGGTGTAAATCTGATAGTTTATATCTGACAGTTTAAAACCATTACCCCATATTCTGTAATTTCCCTGCTCATGCATGAGTATACCTTCCACACTGAATTCACAGTTCTAAAATTGATTTGGACTAAACWTCTTGTGTCTCGTGAGGCACTTTGGGAAGTGGAGCTGCCATTGTTGCTGTGAAAGAGCAATTGCTTTCCATCTCTCATCTGGAAACCTCGAAACCCAAAGTTTTTCACCTCACAAAACAGCATCATGGCCACAAGGCTACAAGTTTCTCAAGGCTGTTGACACTTGTCTCCTCCCTTCCTGTTAAATTYCTTTCACTTTTCATAAGACACAGCAAGAAAGAAAGCAGAGAGATCRTTACCTCTATTATAAAATAATTTAAGTGGGATCAAAAGGATGTAAAACTATTTCTGAGGTGAAGGGCCAAGTGCAATGCAGCGGTGTAGGGGAGGAGAAGGCAAAGCTGTTCTAAAAGGTAACACTGGATCCTCATGATTCCCCCATTGCAGAAAAGACTTCAGTATTTTTAGGATCTTGCTTGGAGCAACACTAAATAGAGCTGGGTGTRCTTCAGCATCAGGGGAAGGTAAAGGACAGGTTCAGCTCTGTGGCCTGTTTTAAGTTGGAAGGATTCTTTGTATTGTCAAGCCYTGAGCAGCTTCAACCTTTGAGCTTGTCCTACTTTCTGAGGAAGGAGGACACAAACAGAATGCTTGAGAATCAAACATTTGAAGATACAAAAGGTATTCTTTTCTTGGCAAGAATTTCAGTAACAAATGGATTGGTCTAAAATATGCTGGAATAAGAATTTTTGGTGAGACTTTTGTACTGTGCTACTGGGTCTTCCTCATCAAACACTTCTCGCTGTTGCAGGAAGTTGGTGGTACACAYACGCAATGTGTAAAGGCTTTGTAACATCACTTGGCTGGTCTGCAAACAGSCTTTGCAGCTGCTTTTTCAATTAAAAGTTTCCATTTCAAGCTCTGAACTCTGTAATTTTTCCATACTAAGGGAGCAGTGTTGATGCTTTAGGTGCAGTTCAGACACAAGGATCAGTTCCTGGTGCAGGAGTTTCTCAGAACAGAGAGCAGAGCWGKGCTGGGCTGGGCTGGGGAGGAAGTAATGCCTCATCTTTGTGGGTGCTTGCTCTGCCTGACAGGAAGCACATGCAAAGCCTCCAGCAGGGTTTCTCACATCTGTAATGACAGAAAAAATGGCAGCCTGAGGTCTTCAGAGAAATTTTAAAACCCAGTGAATGCAAGAGTAATTTTTCATAACTTTGAGAGGGAAGTCATGCCGGAGTAAGACAAAAAACCCAACTTTTTAGTGCTCTTCCTGCCCCATGTGTCCTCTTCTACTAATTTCCTTCCTGCCAAGAACATCTATTTCCCAATTTTTTTTTAACTGAATAATGAAAAAACATAGCTGGCAAGTAACTCACAGGCTGGCACTTTTTAGGTGATGAATGGGCAAAGGGGTGAGGAACAGCAGACAGAGGTGGACATGCACATGAGAATGAGAACTGTGGTTTCACTTTGTTCACCCTCAGCCACCACCACAGGGCCCGACTGCAGTCAGGTGGGTTACACAGCAACACCCAGAGGCACACAGGGCTGGGAGCTTGGCAGAAAATGAGCAAATTTTAGGTGAATTCGGTTGGGTGGAGTTTTTTCTTCAGAAAACCCTAAAGTTTCTGATGTTGTAAAGAATTGAGGAAGACAGAGGAAGACAGAGGAGTCTCACACATAAGYAGATACTTAACCAACTCCTCCACAGCGTGTTTTTTGTTAACTGGGGACAGAAAACAGCTACCTGTGTTTGAGGAAGCACACACCGGGGCTTTGCATATATATTCAGTTACTGATTAGGCTCACCCCTGTTCCTCCTTTTTAAAACTCTTTTTGTAAAAGACCTAAATCTGTGCCAAATTAGCTCTGACCACAGAGTGAGCAGCTTTACAGAGAAAAAAAAGTCTCCCAGGCTCCTTCTTGCATTTCACCAGCAGCACTTGAGGACAGGAGGTGAAAGGGATTGTTTTCAGAGAGGGGGATGTCTATGTTTAGATCTGGGTCCCGTTACATCCTCAGCAGCTGAGGATGCATCTGAGCCCCTAAAGAGCAGCTTTCTTCTCCTTTCCCAGGAGCGCTGCAACCACCTGACTGTAACTCAGGTTAAGCAACTGCCACCTCACCTTCCCTCTGCTCTCTGCACTCCACCCTGTTCTGTGCTCTGGATCCCACATTCCAAAYGCACGCAGAGCCGTGTTTCACACAGCACCATTTTCTCATGAGTTTGTTTGCTTAAAAACCCTTAACTGCAAAGCTGCATTTGAAGATGAAGGAGCAGTTCGCCAGGTCATGTTTATAGTTTTTGACTTGCAGTATATTGTGTCACATCATTACAGGCACTTTTACTGTTATCCCATCCAGGAGAGTGTGAATTTAGAGGTATGTTCTGATTCCAAGCAAATAAAAATGTTTCTCCCAACGGGACAGTCCTGTCTGCCTCACAAAATGCCAGCAACAACTCAGAGGACCTTTTAATTTTACAAGCTRTGTTGGTAGAAGCTCAGAGGCCTGAACTTGAACATGGAAAACTTTACACAGCACTAGGGGAAGTTAAGAAGGAAAAAAAGTTTGGCACCTGACGTGTTTAATGCATTTAGGGGATTATCTCATCAACAAAATGGTAAATCRGTTGCAAACAAGTAGATGGATTGGGAGAATAAGAAGGGATAAGCAGTACAGTCTTTGCTCTGAATGTTTATACAACATGCATAATTTTGTCAATTGTCTATTATTTCTGGATTAAACCCTGAGGGATCAATCCCTCTTTGTTCTGCCTCTCCCCACAGAGCACATGGCTCTTGTGGAAGCTCAAATACGAAATGGTGCAAGCCCAAGATTCCCATTGTACAAACRTCTCAGGCAAACTGAGTAATGGCTTATCCAGCAGAGATTGCCTTGGAATAAACTGTGTCTCAATCAGTCATTTAAATTAAGAAAGGGAGAGAAATATTGTAATAATATTTTCTTTCTGGTATCTGCAGTTTTTCAGACTGGAGACAAAAATGTTGGCAAGTGMTGAGTCTGTGACTTGGGACTGAGGCAGGTGCCAGGGCAGGAATCTTTGCTGTAAAGTTGGGGCACMCTGGAATTTTCTGCATTCCTTCATTTGAAATATCAACATGAAAACTTGACATGTGGAACTTTTCCTGTAGGGCAGTTTCTGGGCTGTGTGTGGATTGTGGTGATAACGGGAAGGAACAGCATTCCCAGTTACCCTCGTGGAAATTCAGTACATCACAGACATGTACTTGATTCCAGCATTCCGGTGACAAACACACCTTCTACAGACTGCTTGAATCATGTTTTCTTCCTTATTAAATGAATAATAAGGTGGTTTTTGTTTTTTTTTGGTTTTTTTTTTTTTCCTGAGCTGCCAACTATATCTGGGAATTACGGCTTTCTTGAACTTAAATCTCTCAGTCTCAGAGCAAGACACCTTCAGACCCTGGCACAGTGATTATTGTAAGGGGAAGAGTACAGGTCTGAAGCAAATCAGCTTCTTCTTGTCACGTCACGTGCTAGAATATCCCTAATCAGAAGTATGACAAATCCCCTGCTTTTCCAGAATTCAGCAGAATTCCCTTAGATCTGGTGGGGAGTCAGCTTCAAAGGCCAGCTAAGCCTGGCTCATGCTGCAGCATGGCTTGTACAATCCTGTGTGTAATTGCTGCTTCCTCTCAGCTCACCAGGCTGGGAAAAGCAAGTTTGCCACTGAGGGTTCTAATTCAGCATTCCTGTGTAGGAAATACAGTGTTTCTTCTCCTCACAGCATCATATGTGCAAATGTTTTTGGGGACCACCACTGTCAAATAGAAAATGTTTAATAATAATTGTCAGATTCCWCTCAATGGCTTGCTTTTGAGCAGCAAGTGTTTACAACTGCTTCTCAGCCCTTAGCAAGTGGAAAAAGCAGGCTTTTTATTGAAACCTGCCAAGGATGTGTTCTGTATTCTAAACCATGCATTTTGTCAGTGAGGGGGAATCTCCTGTACTCAAGGGAAGGAATTTTACAAGTAAGAAAAACTTGCAGTCTGTGCAATTATAATACCATTGTTCTTGATCTCAGGTATGTGTCTGTACATACCCCCATCATTCTGCTTGTTCAGAGATTTCTTCCATCACAACCATGCTGTGTGTTTCAGGGCAGGAGGACTACGATCGKCTACGGCCGCTTTCTTACCAGAACACAAATGTTGTGTTAATTTGTTACGATGTCATGAACCCCACCAGCTACGATAACGTAGCAGCCAAGGTAAGAGGCTTTCCTAATTACTTCAACCTTCTAAATAAATTACACATGCCTGATATATGACAAGATGTCAGATTAAAAATGCTGRTTCTTTTAGTGTCCTGTAGCCTGCAGGTCACAGACCTTAGACCTGGGGCTCAGCTCATAAGTGCTCAGAGCTGGGGTTGATTCTCACTAAAAAGATCAAACAGAGGTGGTGAAATCACTGCTTTATCTGTAGCAATGTCACACAACCAACACTGCACATCTCAGAGTCAAGACTACTTCCATCACATKTGTATTTAACTGCAGGGGAGAGATGAGAGCAACCACTTCTCTGTGCTGGGATTTCTGTAACGCTCCAAAGCATTCTTGGACATAGCATCAGGAAAACAAAGCCAGACTTAATCCAAATTCTGGTTTTAAATAGGACTTTAGAGGAACTTCTCAGAATTTAAACAGATAGTAAATAAACATTTTGGCATAGAGACAGATGCCACTATGTTTTTATAAAGCAGCTGATTTTGGGTAGGACTTTTAAACATTTCTGTAATGTAAATAGTGCATGTTGGGCCTCCCCCACTAAACCAACTCCAAAACTCTGGAATTGCAGCTGATAGTAAATGCTGCTTGGCTGTATTGTTTTGATTTCAGGAAACAAACAACAACAAAAAAGTCCAGATGTAAAAGTTTTGGTTTTCTGCCCGCAGTGGTATCCTGAAGTGAATCACTTCTGCCGGGGTGTGCCTGTTGTGCTGATCGGCTGCAAGACAGACCTTCGGAAGGACAAGGAGCAGCTGCGTAAGCTCAGGGCTTCCAAGCAGGAACCCATCACCTACAACCAGGTAAACTTCAGGCTGTTTGAAGTGGTGGCCTCTTGGCAGGAGATAAAGCACATGATGGCATTGCTCCTCACAAGTACCATCACAGACACTGCAAAATTAGGTGAACCAGGTCAAGATGCACTTCTTTCCTTTCACAGCTGGGTTATTACTCTTACAAGTTTGTAAGCCTTAGCAAGTTTGTTGGACTTCCTTCATAATTGCTATTAGCCCACATTGCAGCCATCACTGGTGCTTTGATCAGCACTGTGATAAAGACTGGAGAAGGTAGGAAACACACTGCAGGATTAAATACACTGACCATTCTGGAATAAATGTGTTTTGCAAATCATACTTAAAAATAAATCCTTTCAAGGCCAATAGCAAGAACATCTGCAAGGTTTCTTTGACATGAGAGACTGTTCTTTGAAGTGTCTAAAGATATCTTAGGAAAACTACATATCATCAATATCTTGAAGTATTATGAAGCAGTGAGATTTATGAGTAGTCCTATGTCACTGGCATAGCTGTCCTAGTACAGGAGAAACAATGATGGAACAGCTTGTCCCATGTCACACAAGACCTTTCTGCTCTGGTGCTCCACTTTTTCTTTTTTTTTGAACTACAAAACCATCCTTCTCTCACCTCAGAGTAAGAACAGYGGTTTTCAAATGGAGACACACGTCTGGGGAACAAGGTCAAGTGCACAAAGACCTTGAGTGAATCACCACTTCTGCTAAACAGCAGGAAAATAAACTGCATCACCACAAAACCACGCTGGGCCTTTTAGTTTGTCTCCCTTGCACACAAGATGATGTTCCAAACTGTCACTGTGAACAGCTGCAGATTGTTCATTGTTTGCAAGAATAAATCCCTTCATCATCCTCACATGAGAGAGGTTCAGGGCAAGCAAAAGACACTTCTGGCGAGTCTGTTGAGGCCTCATGCAGTTAAACTCAAGGGCCCACACGATACACAAACTTTGTCTCCTATGTGAGCTCTCCCAYTTGGTTTTTCCCCCCTGAAACATGCTCTACCTCAGTCTTTTACAGCTGGTGGCAACTTGAGCCACATGATGTGATGCTTCCCATGCCAGGCACAGAGGATCTCAACAGTATCTGCCACTGCAGCTTGCAAGCAACTGGAAGGAGACAAACTGCTTAAACATGAAGAAACCCTCCCTCTATAAAAGCCCAAGTGCTCAAGTGACCCCACTCCCAGAGATTATCATGAATGAATGGAGAGTCTGTGAGCCATGGGTTGCAGACCTGGAATTCACAGTGAAAGGCTCACAAGCATTCAAACCTGGGAGCTGGCACAATAAAAGGATCACAAGTAAGAAAACACCGTGCTTTGTACTGATTTCACACAACCAGCATTGCATGGAAATGTTTTAGATTTGTGTCTGTTCCCATTGCATGGCTGAGAAATGCAGGCACCCGTTTGTTTTTATGAGGATTTTGGCTGAGCCCTTGAGATGCTTCAAAGCAAAAGTCAAGGTTCCTGCATGTGCACGAGCAAAACAAGGCAAGGCATCAGTGCAGATTCTGTTTTTGCATGTGACATTCATTACTAAAGGTGACATCACAGAATAGTTAAGGTCAGGCCTGAAAAAAATACCACCATGTAGACATCTTATCCTCACTTAAGTACCTACCTCAGCATTTAGTTTAAAGAAATTCAATACTGAGAATATTTTTGTGCTATCAGGGCTCTRCATCTCAAGAGTCTCTAATGCTCTGAACTCTTAGATCAGGCTTTGGATCAACACAGTGGAAAAACCCCAAGTTTATTTACAGTGCTTCAGTKTATTACCAGTGCCACTCACACTCTAGAACTGCACTCAGAGGCAGCTTCTTCCTCTGYGATTGCAAAGATGTACAAAAAAATTCCCTTTCTTCCCCAACTCATCTGCCTTCTCATCCACTGAACTGACATCTTTTTGTTCTTTCCAGGGTGAGGCAGCTTGCAAGGAGATTAATGCAGAAATTTATCTGGAATGCTCAGCAAAATGCCGTGAGAACATAGAAAATGTTTTTAAAGAAGCCACAAACATTGCACTGAGTGCCATGAAGAAAGCCAAGTGCCACAGGAAAAGGAAAGTGTGCTCAGTGTTATGATCTGGACTGCAGAAGAGCCAAGTGATTGAGATTTTCTAAACAGTTTAACTTTAGAAAACCGTTTTTTTAAAACATTTGTATTCCTAGGATAATTGTTATTTTAAAATTTTAATTTTTGATATTTTTGCACTTTTTTTACACTGTTCTCACAAAGTTTTCAAAGCTGTTTATCACAGTTAACTGATGCTGTGTGCCTTCACCCATCTGGCTTTTGCTTCTAAGTGCAAACAACTCCCTATTTAAACTGCAGTGAACAGYAACTGCTACTTTATAACTCAGTGTTGGGGTTTTTTCCTCTGCAAAACAGATGTGACACATTAGAGCTACAATTTACTGTCTTTTTGCAGCAGAAAACCCCCACCTTTTAGAAGTAATGTTAAAGCAGTTTGTCAGGCACCTTTGAAGAGATAGAAACAAAGTTTTATCTTAACATTTTCAAGTTCATTAACTTTATGGCAGTGGATTGAGTTGGCCTCAAGCTGTCCCCTGAGTGCAGATGGAACATCCACTACCTCCCTGGACCAGCTCAGAGTACTTCAGTGGTGCTGGAATGGAAAGTGGCATTTATCAATGGAAATATAGCAGTTGCTCCAATTAAAAAATGGAGTGTCATGGGAAATAGTTAATTTACAGCACTCAAATTTAGAAGTACTCCAAGCAGCTACTACATGTAAGGTTAAGTCAGTCTCATGGTAAACATTTACAGCTTATTTAATACAAGACAGATGCACACTGGAGGAAATACTCATTCACTCGTGAAATCATCTCTACTGCTATAAATTAAAGTTTTCCCTTTTGTGATGAAGGTGTCAGTTGTCTGTCTAAGGACCAGGAATGCTCCCACTGCACAACCTGGTACATGTGCCTCAAATCTCCTGGTTCTTTTGCACATCCCCTCACTGAGATCTCACATTTTAGGAGCAATCCCTAGTTTGTAGTCACCAGAAACCAAACCTGTGAGGGKACATGAGGTTCCTGCAGTACAGGTGTTGCTAAAAGCTTTCTGTGTAAGGCAAACTRCACATGTCCAGCTGGTGAAAAACTGTTTTGGAGCAAGCCATCATTATTGTTTATATGCAGGGTAAAGAGATCTTGAGTCTTAAAAAAAAAAGATATTTTTTCGTTTTTTTCCTAACTTGTTTTAATTAAGGTTTGTGAGCACCTACGAGCCTCAAATGGAAAATTAATTTAATTGAAAGTTTGGGCACATCCTTGACTATAGAAAAATCTTCAAGGATTGTGCAGGCCTTTCTCAACTTGTTAGTAAAAGAAACACAACCACCCATACCTCATCCAGTATGAAACTGAAACACCAGTGTTCAGGAAATGACCCGTTTACCATCAACTCCACAGTGGAAACCTCTCTGGCTTTTTTAATTTGAGTTTCTGAGGCTGCAGAACTCATATTCTGCAGAACTCACCCCTACAGAACCAGCATCGCTCTCAACAGAAAACAAAATTTACATCTCATCAACTGGGAGTTCAAGGAGTGAAAAAAATCCTTCTCAGRGTGTGCAAAAGAAAGCAAAATACAGCTCAAATGGTGTGAGAACTGTTGAAAATATGTCAAATTGCAAAATCCAAGCAGCACAAAGACTGGAGCAGAATGGCAGTCAGTATTTGTCCCCTGCCACCCTCTTGACCCAGCTTTTACATTCTCTTCCTTGTTGGTACTAGTGTGGCATCTAAAGAAAATATTTAATATTTGAGTTGAGCCCATCCTCCTCYTTCCAGACCTGTGCCTCAAAAACCAACCCAAGGGCTGTGTGTTTGTTACTAAAAAGGGGCTGAGGCAGCTGCATATTGAATGGTTTATTTTAGGTCCTTTCAGGCCTGGACAGATGACCTGGTCTCCCTGGAAAAGGGCTAGCAGACTTCCCTGCCATTTAAAAACTGCTTTYGTTGCATTATTTTATTTTCAAAAGAGGATTTCTCTTCTTTAAATASCTTTTTTAAAGTGTATATAGCAGCAGTATGGTACAAAGATGAGCACTTTCTTTTCACAGTAAACACAGGTTTGTATTGCCACTGAAAATATGCCTTAAACAAATGCCTTGAAAAACAGCATTCGCTTGGTATTACTGATCCACCCAGAGTGTTCATAAACCTCKGCAAATTCAATACCCAGAATTTAAATAATAAAACTGGAAAGTGTTAGGTATCATTCCAGAATTGGAATTACAGTAGATCCCACATTTTCCCCAATGCTGGCGTTCTGCCAGGCAGGTGCATGCTGCTCTATATACAGAAAAAAAAAAACCCAGAAGCAAATACGTTTTATATTAAATATACATAAATAGCAGGAGTGTGACTGGAGAGCCATGCTTGCATTAATACTGAGTCTGTTATGGCAGAGTTCCTTCACCAAACACGGGAACAGACAAGTCCTTCCCAGCCCATCATYGCCTGGCTGGGCTTGAGCAGGGTCTGTCCCAAACCCAGCCCTGCTGGGGGCAGAGGGATGGAACAGGGGGAGTCACAGCTTCTTCACTTTGTCTTTGTTCTTCTGCAGTTTAGTGTGCACCACCTTGAGAGTAGTGAGGAAGTTCCCGAGGAAGAGCAGCAGGAACGTGAAAGCCAACACAAAAACCTGAGAGGGGAGAAGGAGCAGCATTTATCACCTTGTAACACTACAACAGGGATTATATCCAGCACTGCTGGACTACCAGACACAGAACAGGCTCTGTGCTGTATTATTCTCAGGTATTTAAATTGAGTCAGATGCCCAAATATCTTTCAGGATGTGGCCAAGCACCCCCTCTCCCCTGCTCTGTGTTTCTGAGCAGAGCCAACACTCACCTGCCATTCCTTGCACTCCTTGTGCCTTGACAATCTGAAAAGTGTGATTGCATTATATAGCTGCCAGAACTGCAAAGGGAAAAAAAAAGGCAGTTTAATTGCCAGCAAAGAGAATTAAACCTTGGAAACATTTGTCATGGTGTGATCCAAAGCACATTTGTGGTGCAGCAGCAGAGGGACAATGGGATCACTCAAACTTACATGGCCAAAGAACAAGAAGGGAAGGAGAAACGTCAGCCCCCGCCACATCCAGGACTGAAATCCTTCTGGAAAAGGTTGACAGAAGAGGCAGAGTGTGAGCACAGAAGAGCTAGGACTCGACCTGCAGCTCTTCCCCACCCAGACCACCCTATAAGGGCTATTCCTGTCAAGTAAAAATATATAATATAAATTGTGGTAGTAGGAGGAGGATRAGGATGACCAAAATCTCYRTCTTAGYCTTCTCAAATGCTGACAAARATCAGATTCCTCTGCTCCTGACTCWCAGGACCTGAAGAGAATGATAAAAGCCTCTCTGCCCTTCCTGCCTTGGGACACAGCTCTGCAATGGGGAGCCACACAGCCCTCTCCCTCCCTATCACTGCATCCAAAACCTGAGCAAAAACAGAGCAAAGAAAGTGTAACAGGAAACCTCACCTACTGTAAGGTCCAAGTGGTTTCTCTCCCCCAAAGCCCGGAGCCTGTAGAGGCAGCCCCTTTGGTAATAATACTGTAAGAACTGAACACAGCCTGGAGAAGGAGAGAGAAAACATCACTACATTGGAAGTATGGTAAATATCAAACTACTTAATAATGTTTAATCCAACAACATTTAATTATTGCTTATATTTGTGGATTGCATATTTGTACACTATATTCCTATAGTTTAGTACTCCAGTATTTACCAAACTAAAGTGTTTTCTTCTAAGCACCTACGACACAAAATTACTTTGTCCCTTGAATTAGCAACGTAAGATATACTCACTCTGAAATATTGAAAATGCTAAAAATTGACTGCGAAACATCTGATACAYGAGTCCATCCGGCCTGGAAGCAAAACACAGGGGAGGTCCATTAGTTTGCTAAAAGCATCCARTGCAGTGCCCTTCCCCTTCACCACCAGGCCTGATCCCATTAGCAAACAAACCAGCAGCTGGTGCTCAGCCCATTCCACCCATTGGGAACCCAGAGAGGGGCTACAGCCACAGGAAATGCTCTCATTGATTAGGTTTCCCCTCTCTAACATGGATAAATGCTGTCCCCTCTTATCCATTATCACAGTTTCCTGCTGCAGCAAAGCCTCTCAGCATCATCTGCAYTGAGAACCCGAGCACTGGAGCAGGGGGTGGTTGTGCTCCTGATCCTGAGGGCCCTTTGGGAGGGCAAGGGACCTTCTGCCCCAATCACTGYCAGYCCCTTACAGATTCAGGAGCAGATGYTTTTGTTGTTTTAAAACAATTTTTAATAATTAACTAACCATTTCATGCCCAAGTTGAGACAGGTTGCACGGGGGCCACACATGGGGTGCATAGTGGGGTGTCTGACCAACACCACCACCCACTGCAAATGGATAATTTGCATTTCTGGCTTTAAATTCCATGACCAGGGCTCAGTGAAGGCAACAAACATTCATTTTGTAGTGTCCTTCCTCTATAGCAAAGTGCTGCTTGTTTCCTTAGTTACAGAGACAGAAACTGGAAGACTTGGAGAGATTTTGCTATCACCAGCTCAAATACAGCCACAGGGTTTGGATTTCTTTGTTTCTTTTTTTTTTCTTTTTAACCAGCAATGCAAATACAAACTTGGAGTGTTGTATTTATCATTGAAAACATCTGTAACATCAAACAAATATTAAGTCTGRTGCCCTGCCATGTATCCTGTGGCCACAGCATTGTGGTCACACTGGATTTAAATGCTCAGATGACATAAACACCATGAAATAGGCTTGAAGCACCTCGAGCAGGCAAGAGCAGACTCACCACGTTAACATCACTCCAGATAGGAACGTGGAAACGTAGTGATGAGACACCCACCAGCCTTTGATCCTGAGCAGGAAAAAACGTGGCAGTTAGACAAGAAACATGGATTTCAGCATTGAAGTCCAGCCTTACAGACAAAAAATGATCCTGACTTGGGGAGGAGGGACAGGGAGCAAAACAGATGGCCCAACTCAAGCACAAGGGATGCTGTGGCATTTCCAACCAAAGGTGTCTGACCTCTAACACAATTACAACCCAGACCACATCTACAACTAACCCACAGCCACCAAAAACAGCCAGCACTGTGGACCAAGAACTCAGGGACTTTAAGAACTGCAGCTTCTCTCTCCCCAAACCTCAGGTGGCCACATGTGCCTTTGGAAATGACCAGGGAGAAGGAGAGAGAGTGCAGAGAGGCACCAGCAACTCAGATTTGCTGGGCTTCAGTGCCAAGCTGAATCCCTTTTTTGTTGCCTGGTTTTAAGGACATTTCATGCTTTCCACAGTTTTTGCAGGTGGCACTGTACCTTGAGCCGTTGCTAATGAGAATGCTTTCCCGTATCGTCAGCGTGCAGTAATACCACACCAACAGAAAGTTAAACACTTCATCTGTCACCCTGTTAAACAGAAAAAACACAGAGTAAAAAAAAAAATCTCATTAWTTTACACACATTTTTAAAATCCCCATTTTTTCCTTGTCCTCCTGGGTAAATGAAATCCTGCCCATGTGAGCACAGACACAAACCCCATYCTGAACATCTCTAACCCACAGGCAGCACTCCCTGCTCCAAGCCCTTTTCCCTGTGATCCAGCACTGCAGATCCTGAGCTGATAAGCAGGTATGCAGGGATGACATTAAGTGCTGCTGAAGGAGAGAAAGCGCCACAGAAGCAGSAGATGATCCAATTTAGAAAGGCATTTCCAGGCTAATTCAATGAGGAGATTCCATGAGATCTATATAAATCCAATCAACTAAAAGAACAGAAGAGCATTATGATCTGAGGCAAAAAAAAACTCAGAACACCAAAACTTTATTTTGCCATT